TAATTAAGTAATTCATATTCGACCTCGTTCGAATTAACTCACATTCGACCTCATTCGAATTAACTCACATTCGACTTTGTTCGAATTAACTCACATTCGACCTCGTTCGAATTAACTCACATTCGACCTCGTTCGAATTAACTCACATTCGATCTCGCTCGAATTAACCCACATTCGACCCTGCTCGAATAAACTAAGTACGAGTTAAGTTCGACCTCGTTCGAATCAACACCCGCTCAGCCCCCGGCCATAATTAAGTAATTCACATTCGACCTCGCTCGAATTAACTCACATTCGACCTCGTTCGAATTAACTCACATTTTACCTCGCTCGAATTAACTGACATTCGACCTCGTTCGAAATAACTGACATTCGACCTCATTCGAATTAACACCTACTGGTCCCTCGCCATGACCAAAACCAAATTTTTACGATTGAAGCGACCAAGCGGCAAAACAAAAGAAAGAAGTGTGGAAGCCCGAACAGAAAGAAAAGAATCAGATACGAAACAGCGAAAACGACATTTCATTCTTCAAATATATTTCTTACAAAAGCTAAAGCAGATGCCAGCAAAAGTATGTACAAAAGTTACAAGCAAAAGAAAGAAAAACAACTACTCGCTACCTAACCCAACAACACCATCTCCACCCGTCTCTCCACCATCGTCATCGTTGTCGGGATACACATCTTCGTACCAGGCGTCCTGCTCAATCCCTTTCACGCCTTCATCATCATCACCAACCTGTGGTGTTGTGGGGTCATAGCTACAAGCAAACCGAGCTTTACGTGCCTTAGCACGTGCATTCTCTAAGTCGTCTTTTGAAACATCCCCCACCCCCATAAGATCTATGAATATATCCAGCTGGGCCTCGACGTGAATCCATTCCTCGTACAGATCCCGAGGAACATTATGAAAAGCAGAAATGCGGGATGAGGACGGCTGAGCCAATAACTGTGCCTTTTCGGCTCAAGGGCAACAACTTGATCACTAAGGCCCGCAACCTCTTTTTCTAACTCCCATATCTGCTCATCAAGCCGCTCCTCTCTGAGCCTAGCCGTTTCCAAAGCGCAATCTCGTTCAGAACGGAGAACGCGAATCGTGTCCTCTAAAGCTTCCACTTTACGCGCGATCGATAACTGGGCCGACTCCGCCTTCTCTAAACCCGCCATCTTCTCAGCAACCTCGCCACTCAAAGCGGCCACTCGAAGTTGACACTCCTCCAGCTCGGCACACAATGAGATCACTTGGGCCTGAAGGTCAGCGCATTGGACCTCGACCCCCTGCTCACCTCGAGCTCCTCCTCTTTGTCCTTCAATGCCCCCTCAAAACCACTACATTTTCCGATGACCTTCACTAATTCATCATCCTTCTCCTTTAGCTCGTTTCGGAGAGCCCGGAAGTTGCTACTACCACCAAAACGCCGGCAAAGCTCGCGGTGCTTATCACGATACTCGCGATATTTCCGCTCAATATTTTGGAAGATGGCCTTATGCCTCTCCTCTCGGCGGGAACTTTCAATCTCCAAGATCACGGTATGAAAAGAAAGCCGGAGCGAGTAAGAACAAAGCCGAATTCGACATGAAAAACGAATATAGAAATGGAATAACAAACTTACCCTAAGAGTAAGGTCGGCTATGCTCTTCGACAAAATGGAATCCTTCAGTTTCTCGAGGGTGTTACCCTTCACATCGGAACAGAGTGGACCAAGAGAAGGGACCACGTCCTCTGTATTAACTAATAGATCCCGGTCCAGAGGGATCAAAATAGTCTGCGTGGACCCCTCAAATCTCACCTCGAGCCGGGTGAGTCCTTCCCCCATCATCCTAACCTCCTCGGAATCCATGTAGGAGCCCGTCTCATAATCCTCTTCGGTTACACTTTTGCCCTCCGTATCAACCCGAGAGGAAGGATCCTCGGCCGATAACGAGGTCGATGGCTCATCCCCTTGTAAGGCGTCAGGTACTCGCGCCAACGGCCCTTCAAAACTCATTTCGGCCTCAGGAGGCAACGTACCTCCCTCGACCCCGACGACGACGGAATTGTGGGCAACATCTCAGCATCATCTCTGAGGTATATGGTTGTCGTTTCTCTGATGACGAAATCCTCCATCGCCGAACTCCCCACGCGGACAAATCCATCGCCGATATCTACATATTGCCTCTTGCAGGCAAGTAGATTATCATCCGGCAATGATCCTTCCTCATTATCCTTGTTGATTAGATAATGCAGAGGGGAAGTAGAAATACCCGATGCAGAAGTAGTCGATGACCGAGAAGGCCTCATCGTAGCTGCAGGAACAAAAACGGCTTTCCTCTTACGAAATGCTGAGCAGGAGCTTTCTGCCTCCTCGAAGACCCTCGACCTGCAAAAGAGATTAGAATGTCAACCCTTACTTAAAGTCGTAATGAGCAAGCGACCACAAGGTCAGGACGTCATATGTAAAAGGTCACTATATAGATGAGTACGGATGGACAAACTCACCGATCGCCGAAAGTTGGGGCCCGAACTTGTTGAAAAATGCTGGCCACTCAGAATCCCCACTGCGTGAGGCAAGACCTGGCTAACCCAGCCGTGAATATCCGCAACCAAATGAGGAGGCTCGGTCTCGGCTAAACGAGGAAAATACAGAATAATTAGGCTACGACCAAAATGAGCAAAATGAGCACTTAGTAAAAAAACTTACGGGCATAATTCCACGCCTCAGGAAATCCATTTGCATTTGCCACCATGTCCTCAATCTTGACGTAGAAGTAATTAAGCCAGAATCGACGATTTGCTTTATCATCCATCTTCACTACCAAGCTCTTACTTCCACGGTGACGAAGGTGCAACATCACCCCCTATGGAAACTGGGCGCGAAGAGGTGCATCAGGAGGCGAAGAGAGATCTCGTGGCCAGCCAATCCCGCATACTTCGTCAGCATGCAGATGAGCTTGTAGATATAAGGAGAAAGCTGGGTCGGGTAGACGCCGTAGTGGAGGCAGAATTCCTCCGCCATGGGAGAAGGGGAAAAGAGTAGCCCATATAGAACGGATATGCGTAGAACGCGCAATATCCGGGGTGATGAATCTGCACCCAATCGCGACCAACCGGGACCAAATCGATGTGGGCTGGAATTTTGAACTTCGCCCTAAAATTAGCAAGGGCAGTCGCATCCATCTCAGATTCCACAGCCTCGGGGTCGTCCTCGGGCAGCTTTGAGAAGTCAGATCTAGCCTTCTCGTTACGGGGAATTATTTCCTCCATCGTAGGAAAGCTTTCATCTTTTGCAACAATAGTAGCTCCATCGTCATGGGGAGGCATGGGCACTGCCAAGGGAACAGGGTCAGGTACCCTCCCAGAACTAGAAGACACGTTAACCATTTTTGTTTGTTAATAGAGGATGTGTAAACGCAGAAGAGTCGAGTAGCAGGAGCTATCGAGATCGGTGAAAGCAAGAATATGAAGTAAGATCAAGAAAACAGGGACTCTGAATGAGGAAGGAAGAAGAAGATACGAAAGTTTGATTTTTAGAATGCAAAGAGTGAATCAAAGGATTGTGTATCCCTATTTATAAGAGTTCATGCATCAATATCGAGAAAACAAATTATCGTTACCCATCTCGAGAATCGAAATGGCAGAGGCGCGTGAAACGATGCAAGGTATCGGAAAAATGCGCAGTAATGACGCATGATGACATGACGTCATTCTGAAACAATGTGACCCTAGGTTGCGGCTCACGGAAGGCCACATTTCCATCTTTTCCGAAACTCTACTACTCGACCTACTCGCCTAAAATTTCTCAAACATAACTAACAGAGTCCGCTCATCGAGGTCGCCCAGAGTCGACATCAGTAAGCAGATGGACTAACTGTATAGGTCAAAATCTGCCTCAATGGGATTTAGCATGAAGCGATATTATGGAAAGCGACGTGGCCGAGGTCGACTAGTAGATAACAGGGCTCGTAACTGAGCAGTCAATAACGACCGAGGTCGAGTATCAAGGGCACTTCTAACGGCTAGTTTTTATAATATGATATTTAAGCGAATATTCCACTGAATATTCTTTATACTTGTACTTTTAGGGTTGACTGGGATATGTCCCATATAAATAGAAAAAGAGATAGGGGGAAAGGGCATGTAACATTCCCTCACAAGAACACTTTTTGAGAATAAGACTTTCTCTCTAGAAAAGTTACAAATATTACCTTTCTAACAAGATTCGATTATCTATTATTCCACACTTTTTCATCAGATCCGAGAATAGTTCTAATATTATGGCATTTGTCTATCACTCATCACTGTTAGAAGAAGGAATCATCCACCTCATTCAATATTGGGTGAATCATTCTCCTTATTTACGTTAATGTCATTTATTCCTATTTATTACTTGATATTCTTCCATCATTAATCATCTTGAAACATTGAATGTACACAACATTTAATCCTCCATCAATACTATCCAGTTTTATTTGAGTTGACTAGTTATAAATTTGGGATATTATCATTAACTAGGTTTAATCTCTTTTTATATAAAATTAATTAATTTAATCAAAGATTTATACTTTTTGGTCAAGCAGAGAGAACAACGACAAAGCTCAAGCTTTCTTCCGTCTACCTGTGGTTGAGGGAGGTTGGGAAGGAAATGGTGGGTGGAGACTAGCAAATGAAAGAAAAAATGGAAGACGAAGGAAAAAAGAAATAGAGAAAGGGGAGGGGGAAAGAAACTAAGGTAGAAAATGAAAAAAGTTACGGAATATGGGTGGGATGTGCGGGGAAGACGAGAGAGGTGAGGGAGGAGCGAAAGAGAGAAGGGAAGGGAAAGGTTTTTTTTTTCTTTTTCGTTTTTCTTTTATATTTATATTTTATTCTATCTCTAATTTTTTTTTAATAAAAATAATACTATTCACGCGCCTTGGCAACGTGATTTGTACACAGTTTAACCATGTCAGTTGCACTACTACCACATAAACATAATTAATGGTCAAAAATATTTATTAGTACTCATTGTTTTTAAGCTGAAGTATTTAAATAGATAAAGTATAAGTTTATGTATCGAGTCTCTGCAAACTAATACAAGTTTGAAAGACAACGAGTGCATTTGGCCTTTCAATATTGAATAGCCAACTTTAATGGGTGAAATATTTTATAATTCATCATATATCCACTCATTCTTCTCTTCATATTATTCATATATAGTATCCGTCCTCTTTATCCGGTCCAACACACATATCAAAGCGAAAAACTCATTCTCCTCTTCTGACCACCATGTGCACGTTAGAAAAGTCAGGCAACATCTTCTATCTTACGCTTACCGGCGACGATGAGCACCGACTGAATCCTACTCTCATCACCACCATCCGTTCATTTGTAGCCGAAGTTAAATCCCAAGCCGTGAAGGGTTCCGTTCTGATCACAAAAGCCCAAGGCAGGTTCTTCTCTAACGGCTTTGATCTAAAGTATGCACAAGCCGCTGGTTCAGCGCAAGCTGCCAAAGATCGGCTACACAACATGGTGGCCTTGTTCAAGCCGCTGGTCGCCGATTTCCTATCACTCCCAATTCCGACCATCGCCGCCGTCACCGGCCACGCGGCGGCTGCGGGGCTGCTGCTAGCGATAATCCATGATTATGTAACCATGAGATCGGATAAAGGAGTGGTGTATATGAGCGAGTTGGATATAGGGATGACTTTGCCCGACTATTTTACGGCGATGATAAGGTCTAAGGTTGGATCCTCAGCTTCTCGGCGGAATTTGGTTTTGAAAGCAACGAAAATGAAGGCGGAGGAGGCGGTGGTGATGGGAATTGTGGATTCTGCGCATCCTACGGCGGAGGAGGCGGTGGTTGCGGCGGTGAGACTGGCGGAGGAGCTGGGGAAGAAGTGTTGGAATGGCAAAGTGTATGCAGAGCTGAGGAAATCGTTGGTTCCGGAAGTGTGTGGAGTTTTAGGGTTGAAACATACCGCTGTCTTGCCTTCACGCTTGTGAGAATCACTTTTTCATTCAGAAAGTTGTTTTTTTTTCGCCGGCTTTTTACAAATACTAGTGATGATAATAATTGACCCTATTTCATCTTTGAACAATATTGTGTCATCGCATGCTGTCTAAAAATTAATTCTCGATGTGAACGCCTATATTGAGATGCTAATCTAGGATTTAAAAGGTGACGGATGCCAAATTGTTTTTAGCGTACACGTTATAATAACTAATATATAGTTTGTTCGATTTTATTTTTTAAATTTTATTCGGACAATTTAATAGATATTTTTTTGTAAATATAAAAATTACATTACTTTTTTAGATCCTACTTATGAATTTTATTGGGTATGTTGTCATTGTCATATAAAAATTACATCTGAGACATCAAGAAGCAAATATAATTAGCATTTTAAAGAAAAAATCACACATCAATATTTTCATTAGAACTACATCTTTTTTGTATGCTAAAAATAAATTTGCACCGGTAAAATAAAATCTTCAATAAGGAAACTTCACTAATGAGAATAAGAAAAATAAAATAACATCTTCAATAGATAAATTATGTCCAATAAGTAAATGCAGAATTAGATAAACTACACGATCCCAAAACTTAAAATCATAAACTCATATTTTTCTAGGCGGAACTTGCAAAGTATTCATCATAATTTAATAATAAAGAGATTTAAATTGTATTTAACCATCATACAATAGCACAAATTTTTATGTTATAATAAAAAAAGAAATTATAAAAATTAAATTTGATCTCAATCTAAATATGAAGACCCAAGTTTTTTTATTTTGAAAGAAAAAACTAAAAGATTTGAGATTAAGAGAAATGCTTATTTATGGATTTTTTAAATTTTGGAGGTTCTTTTTTTAGTGTTCTTTCTAAAGATCACAAATAAAATAATAGAATAGAGAAAAATATATAAAAATAATAAATAATAAATAGGAAATTGGGAGTTAACCAAAAGGGAAAATGATGGGGACAGAAGAAATAAAAAATGCAACGAAAATTCAAATTTGAATTTTTACATACCAGAAAAGCTTTCAAAAATGTCTATCAGCTATGGTGCCTTTGTCTAGTTTGCGATTGGGGATGACAAGATCAAATATTTAACCTAATTTAAAAAAAATTATACATAAATATATAATAATTTTACGAGTGCCATACCACCCAGATGGTGGATCGCTTGTAAATGTATACTCTTTTCTTTAAGAGTTCAGTCGGTTGATTAAGTTAGCTAAAACCTTTAGGTTTATTTAATTAAATAATGGTAATGGGTATAAACAGATACTTTTGGCGTTTGCGCAGTTGTTACAGACCGGAGAGGGAGTGCAAAATAGATAAAGCAATCATAAATAAAGGGAAAATTGGAGAAATATATATATTTGAAACGCTCGTAAATCAGTTGCTTAAGAATTGATTCATTGGTATTTACCAGTCAGATAATGATACGTGTGGATGTAATTTTGAAAGTGAAAGCGCACGTTGGTTGATGCTTCTTATTAAAAAAGACAAAGAAAGTTCATTCGATAAAGGAATTTGCCTCTTTCGTTCCGCCGATGGACGGTTCTTCTTGTTTTAAAAAAAGAACTAATGTTCCTGAACATGTCGTCAGCTCTTTTTGGATTTTGAAATTTATGATTTTCGTGACTTAGTTATTGGGATTATTTTTCTTTAACTAGTCATGTGCAGATAGTAATTTTAAAATTGTTCCTAATCACCTTCGAAAAAGCTGGAGCTCTTATCTTTCTTTGATCGTGTGGATTTTGTTTATATTTTTAAATCTTGAATTTTTATTGCACATAAGATTCGTAGCTACATTTTCAGTTTTTCTTTTTTACTGCATAGGTTCTCTTAGGAGCTTGCTTTTTAAGTTGAATTGCAAATGATGTTGTAGTTTCATTTGAAAACTTACTTTCTTAATAAATACTTATTTCAATTTAGATGATATACTTTTCTTATTAGTTCGTTCCAAAAAGAATGACACATTTTTATATTTGAAAATAATTCAACTTTAAATTCTTCATTTTACTTATTTTACCTTAAATGAGAAGTTTTTATAGCTTTAAGACCACACGTTTTAATTTATTATTATTATTTTTTTCATTGTGCATAAAACAAAATCAAAATCATCAAGCTTCCTGCGGCCTCTCCAACACCTCTATGATTGAATTTAAGGCTACCTGACATTCCTTAGGTGGGGGTAGCCTACCAGTAGAATAATGGATTTAATGTTGTTGTTTGCATACGGAGTTGTTTGCATTTTACACTGCTCATTTATTTGATTTACAACTAATCTCCTTATTTTTTACAATTTACTTTTTTCTTTTTACCCATTCACTTATTCATTTCTAGGCAAAACTATTTGTGGTTTATTATTATTATTATTATTATTATCATTATTATTATTATTCTCATATTATTTTATCCTTTAATATTTAATATGTTATTTTTACTTCGATTATTTTATTGCTTTATTGTTTTGATGTTGTTATTGTTCTTGTCTTCATTATTTTCAACATGTCTTCTTCATTATTGTTTTCTTTTCCAAACCAACTTTGAAATGCTTTTTTTTTTAGCCGAGAGTCTATGAAAAATAATTTTTACCTCCATAGAGTGTCTTCATACACACTACTTTTCGTGCACTCCACCTGTAAAAAATACTCTGAGTATTTTTATTGTATTTTATGAGAAATAAAACAGGAATAGTAGTATATTTATATGTGGCAATATTTTAAAGCTTTTTGTTGACAAATGTCTTAACCAACACTATGTGGCAACCCTTCTAGAAGCTATCAGATAAATGGCAAAATGCTTTTGAAAAGTGACAATTGCATTTGCCACGTTCTTTTTCCTCAGCGTGATGGATACATGCACATGTCCCTATAAATAGGGTCAATTAGTCAAGAAAACAATTATTAGCAAGACTGTTATAAGAAAAATCAAATTATGGTGGATGTCTACTCTTCCTCCATGATCTACATCTCAAATGATTAATGACATATTCAATGACATATTTTTTTTCACTTTTCATGTCTATATAAAGGCCTTGTAATAAATAGAAAAATACACACAATTGAAGAAGAAATAAAAATCTCTCCTCTCTTTCTCTCTATATCTCTTAACTTGTTTTTCCTTATTCTATATTGTTACTTTGAGCTTTATTTCATACACGTTATCAACACGAAGTCTCTAACCTCAAGGTTGAATTTCACTTCTGGTAAGATATATCTCGATGATCTATTGTCAAAATTATCAAGCCTAACAATTCTTTTAGATTTTGAGATCAGATATACCTATCAAGTTACAACATTGTACCTGAAAACATGTTGGTTAATTCCTTAGATCAAATAGATGTATTGATAATGTGGAGTACCCTATCAAACTGCATAGTTTTCTATCACATTGATCATGTCAACAAGACAAGATTTTCTAGAATAACATATCAGATAATTTTTGTTTCTTGAATCGGTGGATTAAATAATTACATGTTAAATAGATAAAAGTGATCCTATATGTTATAGTCTTAACACTCTAACTTAACATATATCTACATGTATTAACACATGGATTGGGACATTAATACTACCATTATAGTCCATATATTATTGAGTCATATTCACAAATTAAATCCAGATTTTATTTAGAAAGGTATGTAGTGTTAAAGGCACGTCTTTCTGCTATAACAAGTCCGAGTTTTAAATCAGATAAGTTTATATCACTATTTGGAATAAGCAATGGTTGAAAATTAATATTTATGTGGATGCTAAGGATGTTACCTTGTTAAATTTTCATGAACTAAATAATATATGGCATGTGGTATACTAAATAATCTACAAAATTAAAATTATACTTTATTATGTATGCTTATGGTTTTACTTTATAATACAATTTTAGTATGCCTAGTATAATGATTATACATTAGTTTACTGTCAAATATAATAATAATAATAATAATAATAATAATAATAATAATAATAATAATAATAATAATAACTATTTTATTTTGAGAAGATAAAATATTAGTACAAGAAGTATGTACTACACCAATTTTTTCATTGATGATAGTTCTTATCAAATTAACATGTTGAATCATTTCTATATGGAAAGCATATAGTAGTAGATAGTAGACAGAGATTTGTCCACTATTTTTTTGATCTCCTGATTGACTTAAAGGTTCTGCTATATCTTTTTATTTTTCTAGAGAGCATAATACTTAGTTTTTACAAAAGTGCATGGTAACTAGTAGTACTATTATTCTGTTTGATACATTATTTTTTCTTAATGTTCTGGTCATATCACTTTCATCTTGAAGTAAGCTTATTGCAGCCAAAACCACATGTGAATTTTTAATATTATTTTGTATTTTCATATATCTGTTTGACACTAATTACTTAACTGATTTGTGTAAACAAAAGTCTATTGTTGAGAATTATATCCAAATGACATTATGTAGAGTTTAACTCAAGAGGTAAGCATTTTCTTCATATTTGAAATTGTTTTTGTCATTTGCTATTAATGATATCAACTTCAATGAGTTCAAGTCGCAATACACTATGAGGGCAAGACATCAGGATCAAGTCTTGATACTCCATGATGATAAGAGTTGGGTTTGAGTCCCAATTCATTATGGCCTGACATGCCTTTATATTGGTAAGATATTGGGTTTGAGTCCCACTATACCATATTGATGACATAATGATGACTAAAAAAAATAATATATTTTTCATGAAAAGGCATGAAGATTGTCCCACTTGATTTGCTCCATTCTTGAAGTGAATGTGGTTGCAGCGCATAATAAATTTAAATGAATACAAGTGGTTGAACAATGAACGTGGGCATTCCAAAGATCAAAATAATAATAATCATCACTATGATTATAAAAGCAGAACATTAAGGGTTCTAAAAATAGTCCTTCAAAATGCGAAGGCAATATTTACCATCAAATTGGTATGAAAAATAATAAAGCACACCGCTGATTATGATCCATTCCTTGAAGAGAATGTGATTTGTGATAATCATTGAGAATGCAAACGCATTCCTAAAGGTGAATGTGGCAATATGTGATAAAAGTAATGAATAAAGACATACAATGCATGATCAGATGAATACCACACAACTCATCTCTAAGGGAGGTTTGAGTGAAATAAAGAGAATAAATATTATTGTGTGGTTACATGA